TCTATATGGCTAGTGCCTCTTGTTGTGAAAAATTAACCTAAACTATATGTGCTGGTGGAAAGTTATAGAAACCTGAAGCTTTTGTCATCCGTATCTTTAGTCATTAACAAATGCGATACTTGTTGATGGAACACTGTTACTGTGTGTTTTGTTAATGTGGCATCAGCGTTTACGATTTACTTTTTATTTGGTAGCTTAGTGAAAGTTCTGGCAAATATGTAAATCTCGACGACTAACCTAGATCCTCAAAAAAAGTTGCTTGGTGACAAAATATGTTTATTTTTGGTCTCACTAAATTTTTTTATTTTTGTCTTTCAGAGCTTCTGAACTAAGAATCAATTAAACCTTTATCTTATATTGGAAGGTGCAATCTCTGAAACAAACCCAACTCACCAATAATTTATTTTTTCAAACCGTTGCAATGCGAGGAATAGTAGTAGGCTGTAAGAAAAACTGACTGTTCTGTTCAGTTTTTCCGTAGACCTTTTGATTATGAACGATTGAATTTTCGCAAACATATCTTTGAAAAAAAGGCAAATACTTTGAATTTTTTGATTTTTTTTGTCTTGTATAGGTTTAACCGATTATTTCGTTAGACAATTTATGAAAGAATAAAAAAAAAATTTTTTCAATCATATGCGGGGTAAGGAAAAACAAAACAATGATGAGTGGTGGAACACTAGCAATTAATGATATACCATAGGAAGTACGGAACAAATAGTTGAGGTGAAGCAGTGTTTAATTAGTACACAATTTTATCAAACTGATATGAAAGTTTGGTGAAAATTCAAAGTTTATCAGGCATTATTTCTGTTACAAGTTTCAAGGAAGGGTACTGAGCCATAACAGTTGTTTTAAGCACTTGGCTTAATGGTATTGAATGGAAAAAAATAGTTGGCTGCTAAAATGGTTCAGTTCTCTTCAGAAAAATAAATATATAAGCATATTCTTAGAATTTTAACTTAATGAGGACAATATCGTTGTTTAGGTTTCTGCTTGTTGTCAGTAAGTGAATTCTTCTTCTTATTTTTTTTTCTGCTTGGTATTAAAAAATGAAGCAGTTTTTAGGCCTTTGAGGCTAAGGAGATAGACAGTTAATGGGGTCAATGTGCAAACATCGATAAAGCTTTTTGGTTTTGTAGTTTGAAACGTAATAATATGTTTCAGTTAAACCGCTACAATTTAATAAGCTATTGTTTATTGGATACTGAATATCACTTATCGATGTGAAAATCTTTTATTTTCGTTTACGTCATCGCAGCTTATTATATGTGTTTTTCCTTGATCGTCTCTGCTTAGCTGTTGATAGCATTATCTTTTAAGAAATTATCAATTATTACTGCTCAATTAAATAAACCTGCTGTTCCTTTTTTTTTCTTTTTTTTTGAAAATTCTTGGCTTTTTGTCAACTGCCTTTTTTGTCTCTGTTAACCAGCAAATAAAATTGTTTTGCTATTTAAGTTCCTAGTTTAATCTGCTGTTTTATCACTTCAGAGGAGGAAACAATGAGCATTTTTGTTGGTTATACACTTCAGCTAATTTGCTGCTTAATTTTTCATCATACTGCCAAAGAAAGATGATGTTTGCTATTTTTTCAGGTACTAATGCTTCTGTGGTATTATGCTGGTAAACGATGATGCTTTACCTAAGAGTAGTGTAGAATATGTGACCACTTAGTTGAAAAGTGTTCTGGAAGGAAAGTTTTAGCTGTGCAATAAATAGTCTTCAAAAAACGACATTTTCAGGTAACAACAGCAGAAAATGGAATAACCTGTAAAATGGGAAATTTTTTTGAACTTTAGTTTTTTTTTTTACAGTAAAATAATATATCGGCTATATAGAATTAGTAATACTGAAGAAACATTTCTGAGTTACTATTTGGTGATAAGCGATTTGAATGTTTCTTAGAAGGCTGTTTTTTGAATTGCTCTCACTCGTAGTCGGTGTCGGTAGTTTAAGCAACATTTTTTATAGAGTTCTTGTTCAAATTCGGTGCTTAAATATTATTAGTGGTGACATTTGATTCAGTGCTCAACGAATAACCAACTTTATTCTTTCTCTAAACTGGTCTAGCTAAGAGTAATCGTGATTTTGCGGTAAAAACGAAACTGGTTAAGCATTATTGTAAATTTAAATGCTAAACTGTGAAAAGAATAATGTTAATTCTAAGCTTAAAGTATTTTCTGTCAAAATGATTATTTCTTTCAATATTGGTCGATCAGTCTGTTTATTCAAAACTTCTTCTTTGACATCGTCGCTATTTGAGGCAACAAAAACAACAAAACTTCAAACGTATTTATTGATGTAAGACAAAAAGAACTGGTAATCTCAATTTCTTTAATTTGGACAGTAATCGCTGTAGAAGAAAACTGATTACTAAAGAAATATGAGAATGAAAAAATGATTATGGTGTAATCGGCAGCAGCAAGAGGAAAACAACTACATCATAATAGGTTTTTTGTTGTAACAGTTGGCTAGTATCATATAAATGTAATCTAATTCAGATTATTTCTACATCTTACATAAAATGGCCTGTATACTGATTATGCATGACGTTAAATTACCAAGAAAAAAGATTAGATTGTTTATCTTAGCCTATCGCCATTTACGAAGCAATAAATGAAGTTTTTTCTCAGCTTTTCTTCTAGAAACAGCTTTTCGAAACAAATATGTCTTTTACCAGATGGCTTGAACCAAAATGTGCAAACAGCAAACCTTTATTTAGATCTTTAAAAAAAATAACTTTTTTGTTTGTCTACTAAATAGGCGGAAATTTTATGATGTATTATTCTGCATTAACAAGTTTATTGTTATTTTTAGAGCTTAATCGGTACATAACTGGATTATATTTGAACACTCAGCCTTAATTTTTTTTTGTAATTGATCTATTACTGCTGAAAATGATGCTATTAAACCACTGATTCACTAACCGTCGGTTAATATATTTTTTGTTTGCAGATACATTACTACAGGAGATTGAAACCTCTGTTTTTTTTCTGTTTTTTGATAACTGTTCAACAACGGCAAAAAAAAGCAAAAGAGAAAGGTCAAAAGTTCATGACTCGTTGTCACTTAAGAAAATCTTTAAAAACTAACTTTCATAAAAGAAGCAAGTAATCAGTAAGTAAAATTATCACAGCAAAAATTAAAAAAAACAACATACCTAAGCGAATTCCGTATGATTGATAAATAAAATAATGTTGCGTGTGTTTACAAAGTAAATTTCTGCTGAGATTGCTCTTTATAAGGAATTCTAGTTTATGAAAAAGTTGCCACATTTTCCAATAACAAGTAACAGCTAAACTGTCATTTGAAAAGATCATGGCAATTAGTGTTAATCTACACAAAAAAATTAATCCTTTTTTTGCAGCATGGATAAAACTTTTATAAATTGTTGGGACTTTTTTTAGCGACAACTTATTGTACTAAAAAAAATAAATTTTTAATCTTTACATACAGATAATGAAAAGAATAGTCTCTGCAGCTGTTATCATTTTTATATTGTCTTATTGATAAAAGATTTCCAGTAAAATTTTAGCTGTGCCGCTACTGGATATTAAACAGAAAACAATAGAGAACCACAAACAATGGTAAAAAAAAGATGTAGATAAATTAGAGTTTGAATTGGTAGAAAGCTTTGAAAAAATAATGGTAGGAAGCGTAACAAAAATATATATATTGAAAGAAACTCTGTGTGAGTATGGTTCGAGTTTTGTAGTTTAAGATAATTGTCAAACTGATTAACCGTACCAGTACTTATATCGTCTTTGGCACTGCTCTTTATCTTACAAAATTCAATAAGGTAACTAGAAATAAAAGAAAAAAGAAAGAAAATGAAAGGATAAATTAATTAGCTGTTCCTTACTTTGAATTCATAATGCGATATCTGATCCTATAGGGTAACTGCCGAGATACCAGTACAAAAAATTTTGTCATTGTTATAATTTTATCTTTTATGTGCATAAAGTAAGAAGGTGTTAATGGTTGTTTGCATGTCTGTTTATGCTAATGGTACCTTATTATATTCGCTTAGTCGACAAATTTCAACACATCTTGAAAGGCTTGTGATTTTTTTAACAATTCGTTTTACAAAGTCATTTATTCCTCTACTTTTTTTGTGGTAAACTGAGTTTGAAAAAGGCTTTATCACTAAATAATTTCAAGTCTGTCACACTGTATTTCTGCACTGTAAGTTACTAGATAAAAGCCTGGGTAAAAAGCGCAAAAAAATGAGACAGTAGACAAGTGAACGTCAAAATATAGTTTTTTTTGAACCAATTTCTTGTAAAATCAAATTGGCAACAAAAAGGTTGGTTGAACAGTTTTTACTGATTAAGTAAAAAACGTACTGTTAATTATTTGTGTTTGACCTGTATACTTGAAAAAATGAAGAACGTGACTACTATTAATTTTCCATTTTTTTTACAGTTATATGTTCTTCTTTTTTTGTTCTTTTTACTTTATATGTTTAAACAGAAGGAAGTTGGCAGATGAGGTTACATCCTTTATACAAATAAGCAAACACTTATCTGCTTCGATAAACCTTTCAATTTTTTAAATACTCTTTATAATTGTGTAATTGAATTTCTTCTGGAGAATTTCAGCTTTATTGAGTTTACAGAATTTCGTGTTTTACGACAACAATTATGAATAAACTCACACATGCATATGCATGCACATCTAATATGCATGCACATCGATGTAGCTGACAACAATGAAACGCACTAATCAAACCGCTATTAAACAAATGCAAAAAAAGTCATTTGTTTATGCGCACCTTTAGTTTTTTTTCAGTTCCTTTTTCTTTTTTGCCAAGTATTATTGCAAATAATACTTTCTTTAAGCAACATTCAACGTCAGCTTTATGGTACAACTAAATGTCCGCTGCGTGTTTTCAGTTGATCAGTTTCAGTGAGAAGACATTAAGGCAGTAAAGAAGCAAAAGAAGAATTCTTCAAATAATAAGACGGAAGAATAAAATATAAAAGAAAAAGAAAGAAATGAACGCTAGTTCTTATCATTATCGGCCGTGTATACCAAGTACAGTTTGCCGTGAACAAGAGGATACTGAACTAATCACTGAACGATTTTATTTGGTGGCTGTACTTGGAACAACAGTATCACTAATTAGTATTTTTGAAAATCTGTTTTTGCTACTCTTATTTGCAAAAAGTCGTCGTCATCGTGAAAGTGGTTCATTCTATTTAATGTTATTGGCCTTATCTGATGTTTTTGTTAGCGGTACTTATATTCTATTAATGTCAGTAAAAGTTTTTTACATCTATACAAACAGTTTTTCACTGCAGTGGTTATGGTCAGTTTCACTTCATATCTGGTTATCTTTTAATTTATTTCCTTTTCACCTTTTTATTACTTATTTTCCACTAATTTTAAGTCAACCAATTCTTGTCAAATATTATGGAGATTTTAAATTATTATTTTACTGTTCTTATGCAACGCCAAATAATTGTAGGATGACTTATGTTGTACCAATGTTAACAACTTCGCATATAGCCATAACCACGGGATCGTTTCTTATTGTTTTTGCTACAGTTGAACGTTATTTTATCACCATATCTCATAGTATGACCAACTGGTTATGCAGCAATCGTAAAGCAATCGCTTTATTTGCTGTATTTATTGGCGTATCTACCAAAGGCACAATGCTGCTGGAAATAAAGGTAAAATTTTTATCAACTGTGGTAACTAAATTTATAGCGATTTTTTTCTTCATGCAGTTTGTTTTCTCCTCGTAAAGTCAGAAAAAAGGTGAGAAACGTCAAGAAGGCAATGATTTTTGAACCAGCAAACTTGAAACAAAATTTAGCGCTGTAGTAATCCAAATTGCGAAATACCATTGTCAAACTATTGGTTGGTACCGACGGCATTAGTGGTGAACAATCGCTATTATACATTCTTTCGTGTATGGTTCAGACGACTGTCGACTATCATGCTACCATTTTTTTTGCTTCTCTGTTTGAATTTCCGTATTATAACGGCATTACGAAAAAATACTCACCATGATCTACGAGAGCAACTGTACGTTGGTGCAGTTTTTGAAACTATTAAGAAGCGAAAGGTTTGTAGCTTGGAAGTAAATTGAAAAAGACTGAAATTTGTAGGAAATAAAAATACGTCATTCATTCTGACGAGTTCTTAATTCTCTGCATTTAAATGTTCAGTGAAGCACGTATGAATAAATAGAACAAGAGTTACTTTTTATAATGCCCAGTTGTAATTTGAAAATTTTTCTCTTCTTTTTGCAAATAATTGAGGAAACTGCTTTTTTAGACTAAAGTCAAAGCGGCAACCCGAACGCTAGTGCTTGTTGCATTTACATATTTATCCGGCAACTTTTTGAACGTTCTCATTACTTTATGGGAATATATTGATAATCAAGGATTGCGGGACAAGTAAGGCTTTAAAAAATGCAAGAAAAAGTAAAAAAAATAAAAGTTAAACAGTAGTGACTGAATAAGTTGTCATTACATTGTTATTTCTCTAAGTGTTTACGCTCTGCGTTAAAAAATGCAGTGGGATTTTTAAGAACTTTACATATTGAAACTTCTGTGCTCTGCACCTCTACAGTAGTTACTTTAGAGCTGCTAAAATTGCGCTTTATACCTTCATTATTTTGAAAACCGCAGTGCAGACCTGGCTGTGACACCTTTCTAAACATTTAAATTGTATATCAAAGTCAAACATTTTGTAATTTAGCACTAATCAATACAAAAGGCTTGA